CTTCTTGGCGGATGCAGTATCCTTTTTTCACCCAGTTCCTGGAGTAGATGCCTAGTACCTTGCATGCAGGCTTCCTTTGTGGGGGCCGCCAGGAGAAGTCATCTACATGCTGGGCATAAGGTCACTTCTGGATGCTGGGTCCGAGTCGGTTAGGTCCGGTGGAGGCCTCATCGAGAGGAGAGTGGGAGAGTTCTTGAACCCTTGGGAAGTCGGGTCAGGTCAATTGGCCTGAGATTCCTCTCAGAAGTCTTTCACTCAAAGGAGCAAAGAGTTCCTGGCTTTGGAGGGCCAGGGGTAAACAAAAGAAGGCATCTTTTAAGTCAGTGCTGTATACAGCTGTAGTCTGGTTTTAAGGTACTGAGCAAGTTGTAAGGATTGGGGACCGTGGGATGGATATCCATAGTTCTTTTATTAATTTCTCTCCGTCTTGGGCCAGGCCTATAATCCTGGGTACCAGGCTTTTTTACTGGCAGAAGAGGAGTATTCCAGGGTGAGCGACAAGGTCGCAAAAACTCAAGTTCTAGAAATTTGATAATGTGCTGCTGAATACCCATATGAGCCTCTTGGCTCATGGGGTATTGTTTGATAGACACAGGCACCGCCGTGGGCTTTAGATCAATTATAATTGGGGCTTGACACTTGGCTAGCCGAGTCCTCCGTTTCTGCCCAAGCAGGGAAAATCTCGTAGCAGACATCTGGGAGGCCAGTGGCGGCCGGAGCATCAAAAGCCGGTGTTCGTCTCGTAGAGACACAGTTAAAATTGGATGGCTGTTAGTCTTGGTCACAACACTTGAGCCCCTTCCTCAGAAGTGAATTTGAGCTCCGAGGCTCGGTCAAAGATCTCTCCTGAGAGGTATGGGCATTCGGGCACCACCAGAAGGAATGTGTTACCTGCATTCCTTGTCAAGATTAACTGTCCGGTGGTTGGTCCTTGTGCAGTTTCCCCCTGTTACCCATGAACCCAAGAAATACGAGAAAACAAGAGCCTATTTACCTTATCCAACTTACGAATGCTGGGCCCCTGTACAGGGAAGGTAGTGAGTACCCTACGGAGAGAGTTAACCAGGGGCTCGGGGGGCTCAGGTATGACACTATTCGCTGTCCTCACCTAAGGTGAGGACAGGGAGCAGGTTTTTCTGGTCGGGACGCTTGGGGCAGTCCTTGATCCAATGCCCTCGTTCTTTGCAATGGCGCACTGGTCCTTGTCTACTTTTTTGGCCGCCTCCGCTTCTCCCCCTGTCTCCTGGCCCTTTCTCTGTTACTACTGCATGGGATTTTGTTAAATACTTATCTCTCTTTTTATCTCTCCGATCCTCTACATTCCTCCTGTTCTTTCGCTAGTCTGGCTTCCCTTTCCTCGGGAGTTTCTCTTTTATTATATACTTTTTCTGCCTCTCTGATTAATTCCTGTAATCCATAGGTCTGGATCCCATCTAATCTTTGGAGTTTCCCTTTAATATCTGGTGCTGCTTGGTCTATGACGACATGGCCACGGTGGCACCTGTTGCAGGCTCTGGATCAAATGGGGTATGCGTTGGAACCCTTCCAGAAGTCTTTCCATAAAAACTGCGGGTTTTCGTCCTTTCCCTGGTGGTCATACCTTGGCCAAGTGGTGGGGCGTTTCCTGCCCCTTGAGACCGCCAACAGAGCCTGGCGATGGGTCGGAACTCTCCTACCTAGTGCTGTCTCATAATCCCAGTCCAGCAGGGTGATTGATCACATAGTCTGTTTCGTTGGGGAGCTGGGTTGGAAGGCCTCCTGGCGGCGCATTTCCGGGCCTCCAGGAGGACTCGTTGCCTTTCTTCGGTGGTCAGAAGGACCTGCAAAAGCTGTTGACAATCATCCCAGGTAGGCTGGTGGGTGAGGAGAATGGATTCTATCAATGAGGTTAAGGCCTGAGGGTCTTCAGTCCACATAGCGGAGACGAGTGTTGGTGGCGGCGTTCTGAGGTTAATTTGGGCGGGGTTGGAGAGGGAGGCGAGGTGGGGAGGGACCAATGGGGGGAGCTGGAGAAGAGTAGGGAGCCGAGTAGTGGGAGGGATTGGGGATAGAGTAAGGGGCGAGGGTGAGCGTAAAGGTGGGAGGCCTCAGGAGGGTTGTGAGGAGGAGGAGGAGGCGGAGGGTCAGGAGGAGAGTCTTGCTGAGTTCCATCAGGGAGGACTGGCTTAGGAGGATCCGGAGTCTGATTCTTTGGGGCTTCCACGGCAGGGTAGATTGGGGTGGGGAGGAATGGAAGAGGTTTCACCCAGGAAGGGGGGTTTCGGACCAAATCTTCCCAGGTGATTATATAGGCCACTTGGTCCTGGTGTCCTTGTGGCCCAGGATTCATCACTTTTGCTTTAACCTGTAAGATAATGGAGAGGTCAAATGTTCCGTCTTGAGGCCACCCAACATGGAGAGGTTAGCCATTCAGGCGAACAGAAAGTTTGCCGCCGTCGCTACGGACACCCCGGAGAGATCGCGGGCTCGCCGGGACGTCAGGAAGTGGGTCAAAGTCAAGGCTAAAGGAGTTGTTGATGTCTGTCTCATAGTTTTGTCCAGAAAGTCACGCACACACAAGGACGAAATGACAACAATATACCGTGACCAAACAAACACAGAGGAGCAGCTGGCCGAGAGTGGCGCCACAAATTACAAAATTCAGACGGCAAGGCGACCTGCCTACCCGATTGAGAGGAGCCAACAAGTGTCTTTCCTCCCAACAACTTTACCAGGCGTCCCCAGGCGCAAGGAAGGAAGTACCAGACCGTCTGTCCCCCTTCCCCATGATTATTCCGGGCGGAGTACTCCTCCAGAGCTAGCCGGCCAAGACAGACAGAGCGAAGCGAAGTACCTGACAGAGTCGACGTCCGGTCATCAGTCGATGGCGGGCCAATTGGAGTCGCCGGAGGAGTCGAGGTCTCGGCGACCCGATTCCCGGCCAACGCACCAAATGTAGGAACCCTAGTTTTAGATTCCTTCCTGGGCAGGGAGTAAATCACGAGAGACCACTCGACACGGAAGTCTGAGCGGAGAGATTTATTGCTAGCGCGCTAAGTCCTGTATATCCGAAGCTGGCCACAGGACCCCGAATGCCTAGTACAGACAGTTTATAAAGGTAAAACCACGAAACTCACAGAAGCGAAGCGCAAGATGATTAGAGCAAGTCTCGTCTAAGCTCGTCATCACCTCTAATTAGATTAGTTTAGACCAACGTAAAGTATTACATAGGACTTGTCTTTCTGTTTGAGTTCGGGAATTTTGGGTGTTGGAGTGTTTTGGATAGCCACATGGACGTTGGGCAGAGTGCTTTAGATGGCCACCTGATCATTGAAGCCCGGGTGCTTTTTGGGGCCTGGTGTGGCTTTTTCTAGGCTTTTTAAGTTTCTAAGTCTCTAAAGTCTCTAAGTTTCTAAGTCTAAAGTTTCTAAGTCTCCTAAGTTTCCTAAAGTTTCTAAGTCTCTAAGTTTCTAAGTCTCTAAGTTTCTAAGTTTCTAAGTTTTTGTGGCCTATTTTCACCTCAGCCTCCCGAGTAGCTGGGATCACAGGCATGCACCACCATGCCCAGCTAATTTTTGTATTTTTAGTAGAGACAGGGTTTCACCATGTTGGCCAGGCTGGTCTCAAACTCCTGGCCTCAGGTGATCCGCCGCTCGGCCTCCCAAATTGCTGGGATTGCAGGTTGAGCCACTGTGCCCAGCCCTCAGCCTCATTTAATCATCACAAGAAACTCTCTATCTTCAGTAGGTACAAAGAGATTACATTTTAAGGACGGAGATGGGAGATAAATTCCAAAGTTAGGACAAAGGCAAAAGTGGTATAATAAAAATTACCTAATTTATTTATTTATTTGGGACAGAGTCCTGCTCTGTTGCCAAGGATGGAGTGCAATGGCGCGATCTTGGCTTACTGCAACCTCGGTCTCCCGGGTTCAAGTGATTCTCGTGCCTTAGCCTCCCGAATAGCTGAGATTACAGGTGCACCACCATGCCCAGCTAATTTTTGTATTTTCAGTAGAGATGAGGTTTCACTATATTGGCCAGGCTGGTCTAGAACTCCTGACCTTAAGTGATCTGCCCGCCTTGGCCTCCCAAAGTACTGGGATTACAGGCGTGAGTCACCGCGCTAGGCAAAAACAACAACAACAACAACAAGAACAAACAAATAAAAACTACCTAATTTAAACACTTAAGTGAGATGGCCCGCTCACCGAGGAACGTATGGTCGTTGGGTGGAATGGGAGGGGACTTACAAACCCCCCTCCCACCCACAGCTCCCCTGTTTGACTTGAAATAAGTTAACTACGATGTGACTCTGCTTGACTGGTGTCCTCGTCGTTTTAGGGATGAGGGAGTGGGGCCACGAAGTGGGCAGGTAGAAGGGGAAGAATGGAGGCCGGCTCCCTGCAGGCTGTGGAGCGAGAGGTCCAGACTGAGGCAGAGGCTGAGGGACGGGGTCCTGAAGCTGAGACGGGATCGCAGCGGTGGCTACCAATTTCTCAGGGAGCCAAAGGACATCGGGCTGAACCCCATTCCACATCTCCCCCGATCCGCGACCCTTTCCCACCTGGTTACTCACCCGCTCTGACGGCTCCACGTTTCCCTAGCCACAGTTACCGCCGCGGTCCCAGCGTTGCGAGGTTACCCGCCAATCTCAGAAGGCGGGACTCTGTGTCTGACTGACCTTTCTTTTCACCATTCAATTTCTTGTTCCGCTCAATTGTCCCCACCTCCTGAAGTCTGACCAATCAGAAGCACTTCCATTTTGACCTTCCACCAATGGAAAGACTTGGGACTCCCTCTGGGTTGGACTCAACGAGTAAGGCGGGGGAGATGGGAGGAGAAAGGGGCGTGGATTCTTCGTCCCGCCCCTTCTTAAGGAGGCGGGCAGGGAGTACTGCCTCGGCTGCGGGCGAGACCTGCGGAAAGACGTGAGAATTGACCAATCAGAGCTCATCATGGTAGCCCAGTTAGCCAGTAGGACGCTGTGAAGGGGAAATGGGGCGGGGCCAGCGGGGTTGAGAGGACGGTAGGCGGCGGATGCGAGAGCTGGCGCAGCTACCCTGGTGGCGGTGGCTGAAGTGGCAGCGGCTGCGGCGGCTGCAACAGCTTCGGGCTCGGGGTTTTGGCGGCGGCGCCGGCGGGCTGGGCTGCGTGGTGCGGACCCCGGCGCGCGGTCCGGGTTGCCGGGGCGGCGCGTGTAAGAATCCGAGGGATGCGAGGACTTGGCCAGAGGGAGAGGGCAGGGATCAGGGTCAGAGGGCGCGGAGTAAGGGGTTGCGGCGCGACACTCTGGTGTGGGAGGTGGGCTGAATGGGTCCAGAGGGAGCGCGGGGAAGTCTCCGCCGCGCTTCTCTCCGTGCAGCCCGGGCCGGGGCTTTGCACCCTCTCTCCTCGCCCCCGACTTCTTGGGGCGACCCTCACGTGGGCGCCCAGCCAGGGGCTGGGAGCACGCGGAGCTGGAGCCAGCGCTCCTGCCTCCTCCTTGCTCCCTCCCTCTCTCTTCTCCGTGGCGCCCTCAGGTGACCCCGCAGGAGTCTCGTGCCCGGGACAGCCTGACCCGGGCGGACAGCGGGATGGCAGCTGGCCCTCTTCCCCTAGGCCCTTTCCCCAGGGCTGGCCATTTGGGTCCGCTGTAGAGGCAGAAGCAAGGCCCGTGGAGGGAACACTGGACCAGGACTCAGGAGTCCCGGGTTCTAGCCCCGCTCCTGCACTGTGTGACCTTGGGCAAGTCTCTTCCCCTCTCTGGACCTCATTTTTGTCTCGCTGGACAAATGACGTGTTTGAATTCAAAACAGGGTACTGGTTCTAGTCGTAGGTGTATATAGGGTCATGGTTAAGCAGGAAGGTTCCCTGATTCAGACTACCTGGGTTGAAACTTATAAGAGGCAAGTTAACCACTCCAAGATTCAATTTCCTCATTCGTAAAGTGGGGATATTAGCTAAGATAGGATTTTTCAACAGCAGCTCAATTAACAACATAATCCCCCGACTCCACTCACCAGCAATCCCCTCACTCCCAAGTTGTGACAAAGATGTCTCCAGACATTCCTGATGTCCCCGTGGGGGCAAAAATCACCCCAGTTGAAAGCCAATGGGCAAAGACAATACAGGCAGGCAAGCAGTCGTGTATTAAACAGTTACAACCGTGTCCAAGCGTTTGAATGCGAGGACTTTAATCTGTGGTGGCAGATACCATGAAAATTATGCATGGACCGCCCCCCCCGCCTCCTTTTTTTTTTTTTTTTTAGCCCATCATTAATGTTAGTATATTTTATGTGTGGCGCACGACAGTTCTTCCAGCGTGGCCCAGGGAAGCCAAAATGTTGGACAGCCGTGAGTTAAAACATAGAAACCACTAGCCATTATGATAATGGTAACATTAAGAAACCTCTTCTCTGTGAGTTAATAAATTCTCCTGCCTTCAAAGTAAATATGGGAGATAATTGTCAAAGCTGAGTAATGGATACAAGGAAGTCCACATATATATTCTCTGCACTTTTGAGTATGTTTGAAAATGTCTGTGGTAAAAAGTTAAACCAAAACGACAATACAACCATCATTCTTAAGACTGCCAAATAGTAGTGTCTCATCTGGGATTTCCTCTTCTGCCTCTCCACTGCTGAGATTTAAAAGCAAAATAAATCCCCAGATCTGGAGGAAACTTAAAAAAAAAATCTCACAGGAAGTGTGCTGGGCAGAGAGCTACCGGCTTAGCGGCAAGCAGAACGGTGTTTACTTTCGCTGCCTTGTTTCAAAAAGTTGTATCGTTCCCTGTGGATGCAGGCGGATTTGCTCAGCGTTGTTCCAGTGACTCGAGGAAGAAGTCAGTCACTCAGTTGCCATTGACTAGGTCAGTTAGGAGGCAAAATGGGTTGATCCCAGAGCCCACTGCTTGAGGAAGGAACTTGCTGCTGTTTGCAAGTTCAAAGGTCTGCAGTCAGATCTGCTGAGTGTTTTTTTTTGTGTGTTTTTGGTCTGTCTCAGCGGAAACGGGAATGTGCATAAATAGAAGCTGTAACAGGTTAGCTTGGAGTGTTTTACTTATTTAGTTATTTTTAAATTTTTAGTTTATTTATTTTTTGAGATGAATTCTCGCTCTGTCGCCCAGACTAGAGTGCAGTGGCATGATCTCAGCTCACTGCAGCCTCTGCCTCCTGGGTTCAAGTGATTCTCCTGTCTCAGGCTCCCCAGCAGCTGGGATTACAGGCATGAGCCACCCCAACTGGCTATTTTTTATATTTTTAGTAGAGACCAGGTTTCACCATGTTGGCCAGGCTGGTCTCGAATTCCTGACCTCAAGTGATCCACCTGCCTCGGCCTCTCAAAGTGCTGGGATCACAGGCATGAGCCACTGCACCCAGCTGCTCTGAGTGTTTTAAATTGAGAGTTAAGTATGAGCATTTTTACTGTATTAAAAAATACTCATCAGTTAAAAAAAAATACTCTTTTCCCCTTCCTGGGACACCTAAAGGTAAGAGAACAACTCCTATATAAAAATGGTATAAAAATGACACATTTTAGAAGTATGTTTCTAACTGTTCCTGAGAGGCTGCGTGGTAAAGCTGAAGTGAAAGATGTGTTTTAAATCTGTATATATGGGCAAGTACATATTGGTGATTGGAGCTAGATGCTGCCTAAATGCATGGCCCAGACTTCGAGGAATTATAGTGTAATGGCTAGGAATACAGGTTTGGAGTCACACCATAGTTGAAAGCTTGGCTTTTTTTTAGCTGTGGGTCCTTGGGCAGGATACGTAATCTCTCTGTGCCTGAAGTACCCACCACCCCCATCCTGTAATGGGGGGATAATAGGCCTGCCTATCTCATGGGGCTATAAAAAATTTTCAGTTAACTTTTACTTATGAAGTGCTAGTAGGGTCCCTCGTACATAGTAAGCACTCATTAAGTATTAACTATTATTATTAGTAGTATTTTTTTGAGACGGAGTCTCACTCTGTCGCCCAGGCTGGAGTGCTGTGGCGATCTGGGCTCACTGCAAGCTCCGCCTCCCGGGTTAACGCCATTCTTCTGCCTCAGCTGGGACTAGAGCTGAGTCCTGTAGCTGGGACTACAGGCGCCCGCCACTATGCCCGGCTAATTTTTTGTATTTTTAGTAGAGACGGGGTTTCATCGTGTTAGCCAGGATGGTCTGGATCTCCTGACCTCGTGATCCGCCCGCCTCGGCCTCCCAAAGTGCTGGGATTACAGGAGCGAGCCACCGCGCCCAGGCGAGTATTAACTATTATTTTAATGGTTGTATTTTTTGTCATTTTATTTTATTTTATTTTATTATTTATTTATCTGAGATGGAGTCTGACTCTGTTGCCCAAGCTGCAGTACAGTGGCACCATCTCAGCTCACTGCAACCCCTGCCTCCCGGGTTCAAGTGATTCTCCTGCCTCAGCCTACAGAATAGCTGGGATTATAGACGCATCCCACCACACCCAGCTAATTTTTGTATCTTTAGTAGAGACAGGGTTTCTCCATTTTGGCCAGGCTGGTCTTGAACTCCTGACCTCAAGTGAACCACCCATCTCTGCCTCCCAAAGTGCTGGGATTACAGACGTAAGCCACCGCACCCGGCCTTTTATTTTATTTTATTTTATTTTTTAGAGACGGGGTCTTATTCTGTTGCCCAGGCTAGATTGCAGTGGTGTGATCATAGCTCACTATAACCTCCAACTCCTGGGCTCAAGTGTTTCCGCCACCTCAGCCTCCCAAGTAGCTAGGCCTAAAGGCGTATGTCATCATGCTCAGCTAATTTAAATTTTTTATTTTGTAGAGATGGAGTCTTGCTACCTTGCCCAGGCTGGTCTTGAACTGCTAGGCTCAAGCAGTTCTCCCACCTTGACCTCCCAAAGTGCTGGGATTACAAGTGGGAGCTACTGTGCCCAGCCTATTTTTTTCTTTAAAGTCTTTACAAAACTTACAAGTAAATGTAAAGAGAAGTGGAGGTAGAACATATTAGCCTTAATCTCACTCTCCAGACAGAATTACCTTTAACTTTTCAGTATTTGTTCTTGCAGGGTTCCCCCCTCCGTATTTTAAGGCTATTATACTGTAATAGTTCTTTTATTCTATTTTTTAAAATTTATTTATTTATTTATTTTTTTTTTTTGAGACAGAGTCTCACCCTGTCGCCCAGGCTGGACTACAGTGGCTTGATCTCGGCTCACTGCAACCTCCGCCTTTTGGGTTCAAGCAATTCTCCTGCCTCAGCTTCCTGAGTAGCTGGGATTACAGGCACGCACCACCCCGCCCAGCTAATTTTCGTATTTTTAGTAGAGATGGATTTTCACCATGTTGACCAGGCTGGTCTCGAACTCCTAACCTCAAGTGATCCACCCGCCTCGGCCTCCCAAAGTGCTGGGATTACAGGTGTCAGCCACCGCAGCCGGCCTAATTCTTTTACTTTTTAAGAGACAGGGTCTCGCTCTGTTGCCCAAGCCAGAGTGCAATGGTGCAGTTGTAGCTCACTGTAGCCTTGAACTCCTGGGCTCAAGTGAGCCTCCTGAGTAGCTGGGACTACAGGTGCATGCCATCTGCCCAGCTAATTTTATTTATTTATTTATTTATTTTTGTATTTTAAATATTTATTTTTTCTGTGCGTATGCTTACCCAACTGGCTTTTTTTTTTATTATTTTTTTTTTTATAGAGACAGGGTCTTACTGTATTACCCAGGCTGGTCTCAAATTCCTGGCCTTAATTGATCTTCCCACCACAGCCTTCCAAAATGCTGGGGTTACAGATTTGAGCCACCCCACTGGCCAATTTTTTTTTAATTGAGATATAATTTACCGTTTTATTATTATTTTTTAAATTAAGATATAATTTACCATTTTATTTAATTGAGATATAATTTACCATTTTATTATTTGTTTTGAGACAGGGCCTCTGTCACTTAAGCTGGAGTACAGTGGCACAATCTCTGCTCACTGCAGCTTCCACCTCCCGAGTTTAAGCAATTCTCATGCCTCAGTTTCCCGAGTACCTGGGATTACAGGCACCCACCACCAACCCCCAGCTAATTTTCTGTATTTTTAGTAGAGACAGGGTTTTGCTGTGTTGGCCAGGCTGGTCTCGAATTCCTGGCTCAAGTGATCCACCCACCTTGGCCTCCCAGAGTGCTGGGATTATAGGTGTGAGCCACTGCGCCTGACCCTAATTTACCATTTTAAAGAGTATACTTGAGTGGTTTTTATTCACGAGGTTGTGCAACCATCACCACTATCTAATTTCAGAATAGATTAATCAGTCATGGCTGTATTTTAATAATTATCTTTTGTTTTTTTAATTCCCAAACCCTAGATGATGCCTCTAATGGAGGAATTTCTGAGCAGCACCCCTGGCCCAGTGGCTTTGAAAGGGAGCTCAAACCAGAGACTATTTCAAGCCCTGGACATCATATCCTGAGGGCCACAGGAGAAGAGAACATGGCTGTGAGTTTGGATGACGACGTGCCACTCATCCTGACCTTGGATGAGGGTGGCAGTGCCCCACTGGCTCCCTCCAACGGCCTGGGCCGGGAAGAGCTACCTAGTAAAAGTAAGATGGTGGGTTGGGCTGCGGGGAACCCAGCTTTTCTGTTTCAGAGACTGAGAGGTGATAAGCGCTTTGTAGTCTGATAGTTGGGGTGTGTAACTTGTTGCCTGGCCCCACGTTTGAGCCCCAAGTTCTGATACAGAAACTACTCCTTGGGAGACTGTGGGTTTCTCCTTCCACACCCCCAGCTTGGCAGTGTTTCTGGGGGCCTAGCTGCCCTTCTTCATGCTCTCATTCCCTTATCCACCTTTCTGCCTTGCACCTGAGGTACCTTGGCCTGCCTGTGGATGCTTGGCGGGGACCTCAGGCCAACCTGCTTTGGCTGCCTTCCCTGCCCCATTCCTTGTTAAAAAAAAGAAACAGATTTCAACACCAGCCTCCGTCTGTCCCCATCTGAAACCGTTGGCAGGAAAGCAGCACTGCCCATATCTCTTTGCTCCATCTCAGTCCCCCCTTGCCCAGGACAGCGGGGAAGAGGGCGAGTGTTTTGTCATGATCTATTGATTTGAGGGCTTGGGGTTTTGCTTTGTCTTCCTCTGAACCAAAGCCTAGCACAAAGTGAACCCAAGTGCGGCAAGGAGCTTTAAATTTTTTTAATTTTAAATGTGTTTCTGGCAGAATGAGAGGCCTTGAAAACCTTTCTGGTTTTCATCCCGAAGCCATTTGTTTCAGTTGCTCAGGCCTTGGGCTCAGGAGAGGCTTAAAATAACTCGCCTTTTCTGGAGGGTCCTAAGACGTTGGGAAACAGTGCTTTAGAGTCTGCTTAGCAAATGGATGTTCCACCATCTGCCAGTGCTCCCCAGCCAGACAGAGATGTTTGGGGCCAAGGAGAGACGAGCCAGGCTCTCCCGTCTCCTTTGTCCGGGGAGAATTCGTTGAGTTGCAGGGAGTTCGGTGGCCTCCCCTGGGAACTGATGAAGGAGAGCAGTGTTTCCAGTGTTGTGAGTGTGGTGGGGAGCCCTGGCTGCCTAGAAACAGGCTTCTCTTTGCTTCACTGTGTTCACCCTCATCTAGGGTGGCAGAGCTGGGCTGCCCAGGAGGATTTGAACATAAACCTGATTCTTCCCCAAGTGCCACTCAGGGATGAGAAAGCAGTGGTTCCGATTTCAGACTGTCTGTTTGCTTTCTGAAATCCCTTTGCAAGGCTAGGCAGTATTTTCTCTATTTTATAGAGGAGGAAACTTTGGGTCAGAAAGGTCAAGTAACTTGTCTGAAGTCATACAGCCAGGAAATGGTTGAGCAGAGATTTGAACCAGCATCATCTGATTCCAGAATTTCCTTCCCCTTCTCCTCTTCCTTCCTTTATTTCTTCAGCTGCTCCTCCCTCTCCTTTTTTCTTCACCACCCTTAATAAATGTGAGTGCAGGCCAGGCGTGGTGGCTCCCACTTTTAATCCCAGCACTTTGGGAGGCCAAGGCAGGAAGATCACTTGAGCCCAGTGATTTTGAGTTCAAGAGCAACCTGGGCAACATAGCGAGACCTTGCTGTGCAAAAAAATTAAAAACTTAGCCGGGTATGGTGGTGTATGCCTGTAGTCCCAGCTAATCAAGAGGCTGAGGTGGGAGAATTGCTTGAACCCAGGAATTCGAGGTTGCAGTGGGCTATGACTGCACCACTGCATTCCAGCCTGGGCAACAGAGCAAGACCCTGTCTCAAAAAAATAAAAGGTGAATACAGGCCTTTAGCATTTATATTGTCTCCTCATATAACCCCAATATAGGGTTGTTATTATTATCTGTATTTTGCAAAGGAAGAGACAGGCTCAGAGAGGTTAAGTAACTTGTCCAAGGTCACACAGCTAGCAAGCAGTAAAGCCTGTCTGATCTTTCCTCCCACACCACAGTGGAAGGTGCTTTGGGGAAAGGGATGAAAGTGGTTGTGGCTCAGTTGCAGCTTTAGAGAGGAATGCTTCCTAGTGAGAGAGAGTGGTTGGCCTACTAAGGGTGTGACTTGTGTCTGGAAATAGCCAGGCTCAAGATTCTAAATGGGAGTCCTGGCTGTCATCATGAGTGTCACTTTTAAGTCCCTCCAACATGCCTGATACGATGGTGGGGTGTCCAGCTTTCCTGTGGGATGAAAGTGACAAGAGAGCAACCCAGTCCTGTGTCAAGATCAGGCTTTGAACATTGATGAATAGGAAATAGGCCAGAGACACAATAAGACGCCCCTTGGCTAGGCCACTAGCGAGGCTGCTTTTATCTTGGCAAAGTTAGTGGCTTACTTTGGTTTGTTTCTCAAGAATAAAGAAATGTATAACCAACTGCTGGGGTCCAGGGACATTGTGTTTCCTGCACAGCACATTAGCATCTTAGTTTCCTCTCTCAACTTCTTACTGGGTTGTTTTTTAAAACCTCAGTGACTCGGTATAATTCACCAAGCTTGACTGGGAAGAAGAGTAGGACCTGTGCAAGTAAACAAGAGATTTCAGAGGAAGCCTGCTCTGCCTTAGCGTAGGAGGCCTTTGCTATTTTGTGCTTGGATTTTGGCCTTGACCTTCTACCCCAGTGTCCCCCTGCCCCTGCTGTCTGAGGAGCAGTCCTTCAGTCCTTTTTTTTGAGACAGAGTCTCGCTCTGCTACCCAGGCTGGAGTGCAGTGGCACAATCTCGGCTCACTACAACCTCCGCCTCCCGGGTTCAAGCAATTCTCCTGCCTCAGCCTCCCAAGTAGCTGGGATTACAGGCATCAGCCACCACGCCCGGCTAATTTTTTTTGTATTTTTAGTGGAGATGGGGGTTTTACCATGGTGGCCAGGCTGGTCTTGAACTCCTGGCCTCAAGTGATCTGCCTGCCTTGGCCTCCCAAAGTGCTAGGATTATAGGCGTGAACCACTGCATCCGACCCTGAGGAGTCCATCTAAAACACAAGCCCACCCTGGTGGTTTCCCTGTTTTAAAGCTTCCTGGGACTTTCCCATCCCTCTGGGGGTGTTGGGGAGGGCAAGCTCTTCAGCTGGCAGATGAAGCCTTGCTGTTCTAGTGCCTTCTTGCTTGACCGGTCCCATTTCCTGCCTCAGTCCACAGCATCATACTGCATTTAGTTTGGTGAATCCCCTGTGCATTCTTAAACCTCCCCACCTTGCTGGCAAGTCGGTCTAGAATCCCTTTCTCAGCCTCTTGTTTGCTCGTGGCCTCTAGTTCTGTCTGGAAAATCCTGCTGATAACACCATCTCTTTGAAGCCTTCACTGAACTTCCCCTTCCTGACAGAGCTAATTACTCACTACCCTTTTCTGCTTCAGTATCTTGATTAGGCTTCCATTATTACAAGTAGATTATGGTGGAGTAATTACACATTTAACCATCTGATCACCAACTAGGCCCTGAAATCCATTCATCTTTTTTTTTTTTTTTTTTTTTTTTGAGATGGAGTCTCACTCTGTCGCCCAGGCTGGAGTGCAGTGGCACCATCTCAGCTGACTGTAACCTCCACCTCCCAGGTTCAAGTGATCCTCCCACCTCAGCAGCTGGGATTACAGGCATGCGTCACCATGCCCAGCTAATTTTTGTATTTTCAGTAGAGACAGGGTTTCACCATGTTGGCCAGGCTGGTCTCAAATTCCTGACCTCGAGTGATCTGCCCGCCTCGGCCTCCCAAAGCGCTGGGATTACAGGCATGAGCCACCATACCTGGACCATTTATCTTTGTATCACATAGCTCAATGCCCACAGTATGTGGGTACTCAACAAATCGTGGTCAGAATCAATGTACTTGGATTTCTGGGGCCTCGCAGCTCATGGGAATGGCAGTCAGTGTGAGGACCCGAGTTAGAGGTGGGCAGCCTCCCTCCTGCCGCCTCTTCTCACCATTGCTTTGAGTCCCATTGCTCTCAGCACAGCTGAGTGTCCTGGTGGCTGCCATCATTGACCTTTGTCTTTGGTTGCTGTAAACCTTTGAAGTACTAAGGAGTTGGCAGAATGCAGATGCAGGCCATCCTCGGAGTTGGCAGTGACATGAGCATGGGCTACTGGGAACGAAGCAAGCTTTCTAAGGCTGAGTCACCATCAAGCCTGGCATTTGTTTTGGCCTAGCAGCTGCTGAGACCTTCTCAGCACTGTGCCTCCACGCTCCATGTCTGCTTGGGCACCCCTAACAAAACACCATGAACTGGTGGCTTAAATGACAGAAATCTGATTTCTCATGGGTCTGGAGGCTGGAAGTCCAAGACCAAGGTGTCAGCAGGTTTGGTTTCTTGCGAGGCCTCTTTCCTTGGCTTGCAAATGGTTGCCTTCTTGCTGTGTCCCCACGTGATTGTCCCTGAGTCTGTGTGTCCTCTTCTGATAAGGACACCGGTCCTATTGAATTAGGGCTCATCCATATGACCTTGTTTTACCTTAATCACCTTTAAAGGCCCTTTCTCCAAACACAGTCACATTCTGAACTACTGGGGGTTAGGACTTCAGCCTATGAATTTGAGGGGGACACAGTTCAGGCCATCACACTCCTACCCCTTCTTCAGAGGCAGGGGCCGAGGAATCTGGTTGTGCTGCCTATGACCTTTAACCCTATGTGAGGGCCTTATCCCTGTAGGAAATTGGAGGGTTTGGGTTTTTCTCCTTATATGGGCAATTGTGGATTTAATCCAAGACTCAGACATCTTTGGGCTCTAAGCGTGGCTGCTGCAGTGCTAATGAATGACTCACAGGCAGCACGGTGTCAGGTTGATAAAGGAGGCAGGTATGAGCAGAGGTATTTAAAGCCTGGAAACTAGGAATAACCTTGAAAACAGTCAGCGGGGCCACTGTTAGAGCGGTTTAGAGACAGACCACAGTCCACACCGTGTAGCAGGCGGTGGTCTCACCCACCATATTCAGGGAATCAGGACGAGTCTGAACGTAGTGGGCAGTCCAAGGAATTTCCCAGGGTACCTGTGGTCAGACTCAGCTCTGCCTTCTCCCTGCCTTTAAAGCCAACCGCTGCCTAAGATGGGCTGGACCATGTGCCTTTTCTGAGTGAGGGAAGGATTGGGCTCGGTGGGGCTGGCTGAGGTCTGAGCAGGATGCTCGGT